AGCCCCTAGAGCCTGGCACTTTGAACTTGGACTTCTAGCCTCCAAAACTGTACGAGAATAAACTCCTGTTTGTTAAAGCCATCCCATTTGTGGTATTTCTGTTAGAGTGGCACTAGGTAAAGTTGGTACAGTAGAAAAACCAGGAAAAAACAAACAAACAAACTCACTGCCATTGAGTTGGTTCCGAGGTGCTTCCAAGACGTTATCACTACGGAAGTAGATTGCCCAGTCTTCCTTCTGAATAGTAGTTGGTGGGTTTGAACCGCCAGCCTTCTGGTTAGCAGTCAAATGCCTTAGACACTCCACCACCAGAGCTCCTGGTATAGTGGAGGGTCAGTGAAAAAGAGAAGACCCTCAATGAGAAGTACTGGTGGAACGATGGGATCACACAGCAATGTCTGTAAGGACGGTGCAGGACCGGGCAGTTTCGTTCTGCTGTTTGTGGGGTTTCCAGGAGCCAGAACTGACCGACAGACCTAACTACAACATGCCCCTGGTTATAATCCCGTTTGGGAATGGGTTGTCTTTGTTATGTTGATGAGGCAGATGAGGTGGATGGCTTCAGGTAGGGCTTGATCCAGGCATGCAGACCACCTCGGAAATCTGCCAGTTTCTGTGCCTGCTGTGTTGGCATCTCCTGGGCAGCTCTTCCCAGGCTCACAGCCTGCCTCCCAGAGAGCAGAGAGAACCTTTCTCCAGAGGTCCAGCTCAAGTCCTAGGACAGGCTCTGATTGGCCCACTTGGGTCACCTGCTCATCCCCATGCCAACCATCAGAATTCAGTTTCCCATGAGGTGACCCTGCTGCGGTGGGATCCGTGCCACTGTCCCTGCCACACTCACACCCAGGGGCAGCTGGGCAACTCCAGAGTCCTGGGGTTCTGGGGTGCAGGTGGCGACAGGACCCCTCCTGCCACCTCTACTCAGGAGGCCACAGGGTGTGCTCATGGCATGTTTTAAGCAGGAGCCTGACTGAGCCACAGCTGATTAAACACGTGTCCCCTCAACCCCATGCTGCCCCTGCTGCTCCGCAGGGAGGGGATTAGGGCACTGTCCTGACACCTCACCTGGGCAAAGGGAGGGAGCAGGGCCGAGACCAAACCTAGACTGAGCCACCGAGGAGTGAGGAAAGGTTGTCTGTTCAAACCCACCAGCCACTCCACAGAAGGAAGACCAAGACCAGGCAATCTACTTCCGTAATAATTTACTGCCTTGGAAACCCAAAGGGGGTTGCTATGAGTTGGACTTGATAGCAGTGAGTTTGTTTTTTTGGGTTTTTTTTGGCAGGCCACTGCCTCCAGGGACTCTTACGGGTACATGGAGTTAAGTCCTGAGGACTGGCTGGTGGACCGGAAACAAAGGCTGTGGGGGCGTAGCCAGGCAAGACAGGGGGCGCTCAGGACGGGGCTCCTCCCACCCCCTGCAGTCTCACCCTTATCAGCGCCCACAGGCAATGCTTGCTTCAGAACTGCAGGGCACCTGCCTGCTGTATACCCTCCCTCCAGGCACCGTGCCTGCTGTATGCATCCTGGGCAGGGCGCAGAGAGCCGGGCACATCTGAGGGGCGGGTTTGTCCACTCCGTAGAGCCCACCGCGGAGCCTGGTCAATTTCCCCACGCCCCACCCCGAGGTGGGCACACAGCACAGGGTTCAGGAGAGTGTCTGGACTGGCTCTTCCATGTCCTCTCCTGCATCCTCTGTGAAGTCTCTCCAGGCAGCCCCCGGTCACTGATGGCCCCCATCGCTGACCTCTGGTGCCCCCTCGGTCCTCACCATACCCACCTCTCCCAAGTGGCCAGCACAGTCCACGCCCACCCTCTTGGAAGCCGATGCTGCAGCCTCTAGGCTCCCACCCACACTCACTGACTGCTCCTCCCCGACCCTAACCCTGACCCCGACCCGGCCTCGGACGCTGCTGGCCCAGCCCTGCCCCGGCAGTGCTCACCCCCGTGATCTCCTCCACCATCCGAAACGCGGCACTCTCTGCAGCCAGACTTGGCCCTGGACCCAGACTTGGGCATGCCACCCTCTGCTCCACGTCCTTGGTTTCCCTGGCTCATCAGAAGTGACCGCGGGGCCCCTCCCCCCTCCCTCCACCTCGACCTTCTGAATAAGGGGGGGCACATCCCTTCCCCCAGAGGCCACCCCTAGGGCAAACTGCTCAGCGCCTCTGGCTACCTCCACTCCCAAACTGAGCTCCTTGCCTCCCTCCCCCCAACACACCCCAGGACACCCAGGGCCTCCTCTCTACTTTCCTGGTCAACGCCCCAGCTTCCAAAAACCACCAGAGATAACTCTTCCAGCATTCAAAGCACCCCTCCTGCAAGTCCCATCATCTCTGGCCCCTCTCTGACCTCATCTCCACCTCCCCAACCCCAAAGCTCCTTGCTCCAGCCATTCAGAGCTTCTGACACTTCCTTTAGCTGGCAAAGCTTACTCCAACCTCAGGACCTTTGCACTTGCTGTTCCCTTTGCTACCTTCCCCTCCCCTCTCGCTCTCTTCTCTCTCCCCCCCTCCCGAGCTGATTCTTCTGATCAGATGGGGGATTATAGCTGGCCTCCCCCGCTGGCCTGTAATTGGCCAGCTGTTCACAGCTGTGCCCAGGCCCTAGGAGGTGTCAGGAAATATTAATAAATGAGTGAATGGATGGGGTTGGATGGTCCCACGGAGGAGCACCAAGCTGGAAGGCAGACAGAGCAGGACCCAGCAACCCTGCTCTCACCCTTGTCCGTGTGGTCATGACTAAGAGGAGGCAAGGGGTGCTTCCTGGAGGAGGAGCACCCAAATTGAGACTGGGTGGAGACTGGGGCCAGAGGGGCAGCCGCATAGGCAGTGTGCTGTTTCTACCCACCTGCCTCTCAGTGCCCTCACCCTTGAAGCCTGACCGCCAGGGGGCACCCAGGCAACACCAAGGAGCTGGGGTAGGGGGTAGGTGAGCAGAGGGTGCCTGCTGCGTTCCTGAGTGGGCGGGGACTGCACGCCCACGCCTGGTTAGGAAAGGGTGGGGTGGTGGGGAGCCCCTAGGGTCACCCTGTCTTCGCTGATTTGTACGAATAGCTGAGCTGGAAGGTCCGCATGGAGACATGGAAACCGACGTCGGGGGCTGGCAGGGAGGGGGCCCTTCTGGACTCGGGTCTGATTCCCGAAGCCGCGGCTCACAGCCTAGGGGCCCGGTAGGGAGGGCGGGAGGAGGGGTGGGGCGGGCGCGTCTAGGGTGACAGCAACGCCCGGGAATGCACCGCCGGGGAGGGGGCTCCCCGCCCCCCGCCCCTAGTCCCGGGGCTGCATGTCTCCCCGTGCGCTAGGGCCCTCGTCGGGGGTGGAGGAGACGGCGGCGGCAGCCCGGCATCGGACGCCAAGCGTCCTGGACTCCTTGTCAGCGAGGACGACGACCTGGGGCAGGGCTGGGTGAGGGAGGGACCAGGGGACCCCCGCTGGGACGCGTTCAGGGCGTCGGCGTGGAGCGGGCAGCGCCGGGGATCCCGGAACCGGGCAGGGCGACCTCGGTGCGCGCACATTCCCAGGCCCTGAGCGCGGCGCCCAGAATAGCAGCCCCAGCGGTCACCCCCCCGCCCGGCCTTCCCAAGGGCACTGGGACCCTGTCGCCCGGACACCGGGCCGCGACGCTGGGGGGCCAGGGCGCCGGCTGCACAGGCAGTCCCCTGCGGCAGAACCGCGCCGAGGCGCGCGCTGGCCGCGCGGAGGCGCCCGGGGCCGCCGCCCCTCTGGACCCCGGCCTAGGCGCGCCCCAGGAGGTCTGGTGGGAGGGACCGCGCCGGGCTCCCCCCAGCCCCCGCCCTTCACTTCGGCCCGGCCGCTTCCGCCCGCCCTGGGGCCGCCGGGGAGTCGGACCGCTTAGCTCCGCCGGTAAGTCCTCCTTCCTATCCGTCCACTTTTCCTGCCGGCGTCCCGGCCTTGTGATTTGCTCCTTTCCCCTCCCAGGGCCCTGGCGGCTGACAGCGGGGATGGGGGGAGGCCAGCCATCGCGAGGGGGAACTCAGTCCCCCTTCCAACAGGGGAAATGAGCCCAGAGATGTGGTTTGGCCTAAGATCCCACTACGAATGAGGGGTCCAGGCAAAACTGGGGGTGAGGAAAAGGCTGTCTTGCTCCATGGGGAGGTTCTGGAGAGTGGACAGGGGGGTACTTGCAGCCCTCCATTTTCCATCATGTAGACCCCTCCTCCTGCCAGCCTGTGCTGGGAGTCCCGCGGTGGGGTGGAGTTGGGGACGGCTTCAGGTCAAGCTCCCTCCTGCCTGTCCCGCTCTCTGGCTCTGCTTGCTTCTCGCTTCCTGGGCTTGTCGCTGCTCCAGGCTCTGAGAGGGACAGAGACACTACCCGCCTAGCAGCCCTGGCAGCAGGTTTTCCACATCTCAGGCCCACAGCACTGGGAATGTCAGAGCTGGGAGAGCCAGAAACGCAGAAAGTTGAGGCTCCCGAGGGGCCACGGTCCAGTGGGTCCCCAGACTGCTCCCCATCTGGTCCCAGGGGCCTCTCGGGCTGGCGAGCATGTCCTGCCCGTCCTCCGGGCACTGCTGACCGCTGGCCGGCTGGCCCTGGCCCAAGAAGGGCCTCACAAGGTGGTGGCCTCCATTGCTGTCTGTCCTGCCAGGCCAGGGTCACACAGAGGGGGAGCCGGTGAGTGAATTATCCTTCTCCCGACAGGTGGGGAAACTGAGGCCCAGGGCAGCAGAGTCTCCCGCCCCAGCTGCCCCTCTACTCCCCCCTCCCCGTTACCTCCACAGCCTCATGGGGGGGTCTATTTCCTTGCAGGCTGCCCTGGTGCCCTTCCCTGTCCTCTGCAGATGCAGCCATGAGGCACCGACTGGACCAGGGCCAGGTCACCCCTCCTGCCTCAACCCCAATCCTGGAAGTTGGGGTGTGTGTTAGGGTTAGAGGGGCCTCTGCCAAGGCCCTGGCCCCTGACCCAGCCCCCATTGGCCACACTCTCTGCAGGGTCTCTTAGAACCATGGATTGAGCCCAGCTGGTCTCCACTGTGCAGATGGAGAAACTGAGGCCGGGGAAAGGCGAACGGCTGGCCTCCAGCCACACGGGAAGGTAGAAACAAGGAGGCGGGAGGGGGCCCTGACGCTAGGAGACCCCTGCACTATCCTGGGATGAGCCCTTCAATCATCAAACATTTACCCAGCACCTACTGTGTGCGTTCCAAAGCATCCAGCAACCGATAGTAGGAACGGGCCATCACAGCTGGTAATTGTGGGAGCCTCTCTCCAGGCCAGCCTCTGCACTTCCTGCTTTCCCACTGTCATCCGTTTTTCAAAGAGGAGGCTGAGAGAAGTCACGTTACAGTGCAGACCACCCTGCCAGTCAGGGTGGAGCTGGGGCTCGGTCAGTGGTCCCCTGGCGGCCCCGCTACAGGTGCTCCTCTGCCCCCCAGACCCTGCCTGCCCTGGAGCCAGCTGCTACTACTTGGGACCCTCCTGAGCTGTGGTCTGGGGGGCAGTGCTCAGGTAAGGGTGACAGGAGCCCAGGAGCAGGTGGGAGTGGGAACCTGGCCTTGGTGTGGGGGTCACCAGTTGGACATGCTCCTGTCTCCCCAAGTAGGGTCCGGGCGAGTGGACTCCTTGGGGTTCATGGACCCGCTGCTCCAGCTCATGTGGGCAGGGAGTCTCCGTGCGCAGCCGGCGCTGCATCCGGTGAGCTGAGCGCCCCATTGGGGCTGCAGCTGGGTGGGTGGAGCTGGAGGGGTCCCTGCCCCTCCTCTCCTTCCAGCAGGGCCCAGCCCCTGGCCGCACCCTCAGCCTGCCCACACATGCTGCGCCCTTTAATCCCACTGATCCAGCTGGAATGTGGGTGGGGCTGGAGGGGGCGGAGGGCAGCCAGCCACCTCTGGGAAGGGGAGTCCCTAGGGGTCCTGACCATGCTCCAGCCACCCTCTGTCCGCAGGTTTCCTGGTGAAGAGCTCTGCTGGGGGGACACCCATGAGTACCGTCTCTGCCAGTTGCCGGTGAGCTCCGCCCACCTCCCAGACCCCTGATCTGCCCCAGAGTCCTCCTGCTTCTCTGATTATGTCCCCAAGTACACTTGCCACCTTGCCGGCTTCCCCTGGCACTGTGGTGGGCTGGGAGAGGCGGAGTCCTGTCCCAGCCGCTGACCCACCATCTCTGCTCCCAGGACTGTCCTCCAAGGGCTGTGCCCTTCCGAGACTTACAGTGTGCCCTCTACAATGGCCATCCGGTCCTGGGCACCCAGAAGACCTACCAGTGGGTGCCCTTCCATGGGGGTGAGTAGCCTGGTTAGACCAGAGGGAATGACTTGGCGTTTGCAGGGAGAGCGCTGTGCCAAGAAGGAAGGGGGACTTGGATAGCTGCACAGAGAAGTGGGCATTAGGGCTTTGAAGGGTGTGTAGGAGTTGGGCAAGTGAAATAGGCGTGAGGCAGGGAGGGGAGGACAGAGTCCATTCTGCAGTTCTGCACAGAGACGAACAGGCTACAGCCCTAGGACAGCAGGCCTCAAACTCATGCCATTAGCAGCAAACGTCGCCACACTGAGCTGAAAATAGCCAGTTACATAACTCTGTGCCTGGGGCACTGCGCCTCCGGATGCGAGGGAGACAGGCAGCTTCAGACGCCACGGATGAGGAAAGCCTAGGACGAGAAAGTTCCATCGTCAGCCTCACGGAGACTTTTGCCCTGGGAACTGGGGCATGTATACCATGATCCCAGCCCTGTAGAGGTCCACCAGGGCCGGCTTGGGCTCCCTTCCAGCCAGGTTGGCCAGCCAGGCTGAGGGAAGTGGGAGCCAGAGGAAACTTATCAGGAGAGGCTGGGACAGGGCTGTGGGCCTGCGGGACAGGCACTGATGGCACATCCAGCCCCACTGTCAGGCAGAAGGGGAAACTGAGGCCCAGAGAGCGCCAGTATACACCTAGGCTATAGAGTCTCACTAGTACTGGACAAACTTTTTTTTTATTAGGCGCCTGCTGAGTGTAGGGCCCAATGCTGAATGAGTACCCCCAAGCTTAAAACAATGCCTGGAAAACAGTAGGTGCTTAATGAGTGCTTGGGGAATGAATGAATGAATAAGTGAATAACGAATGGGTAATGATGTGAATAGTGTTCTCCATTAAAGACTCCTCGTAGTAGTAGGATGTGAATGAATGAATGACTGCAGCCCCACTATGCTTGCTGGGGAGATTGCCAGGAGCTAGAGGCAGAATGCCTGTGTTCCAGTCCTGGCTCTGTTTCAATCTCAAGTGTGGCTTTGGCTGCCTCTAGGCCCCCATCTGCCCAATGGGAGGGCAATGCTAAAGGCCATCTGAGAGGGCACTGGGACTCAGAGTGTGTCCTCCTGTTCCCAGCACCCAACCAGTGCGACCTCAACTGCCTGGCCGAGGGCCATGCTTTTTACCACAGCTTCGGCCGAGTCCTGGATGGCACCCCCTGCAGCCCAGGCTTGGAGGGGCTCTGTGTGGCCGGACGCTGCCTCGTGAGGACTCCCCAGGCCCTGCCCCCAGCCTGACTCCCCACTCCCACTCTCAGGCCCCGCTTGCTCTGCCCCATGCCCAGCCTCTGTTCTATCCCACTCTCTCTACCTGCCTCCAGTTCTCTCCAGACCCCGCCCCTTATTTCAAGGCCCTGCCCCTTTCACCATAAGGCCCCGCCCCTAACTTTTTCCAAGTCCCACTCTTTTTCTGTGCAGGTCCTAACCTCCCAACCAAAACACCAAACCCATTGCTATGGAGTCTATTCCAACTCATAGTGACCCTATAGGACAGAGTAGAACTGCCCCATAGGCTGAACACTTCACAGTATCTTTACATAATGCATTGAACAAACCAACTGCAAAAGACCTCTGTAAAGTTTTAAAAAGCAAAGATGTCACTTTGAGGACTAAGGTGTGCCTGACCCAAGTCACTTTGTATGCATGTGCGAGTTGGACAATGAATAAAGAAGACTGAAGAAGAGTTGATGCTTTTGAGTTGTGGTGTTGGCGAACCAGAGCAAACAAATCTGTCTTGGAAGAAGTGCAGCTGGAATTCTCCTTGGAAGCAAGAATTGCCAGACATCTCACCTACGTTGGCCTGGTTGTTGGAAGGGGCCATTCCCTGGAGATTGTAAAGTGGAGGGTCAGCATAAAAGGAGAAGGCCCTCAATGAGATGGACTGATAGGGTGGCTGGAATGATGGGCTCCAGCACAGCAGGGATCATTAGGCTGGTGCAGGACCAGGCAGTGTTGGGTTCTGTTGTGTGTGTGTGTGTCACTGAGTCAGAGCTGACTGATGGCACAGAACAACACCAACAGTAATCTTTACAGGAGCAGATTGCTTAGCTTTTCTCTACAGCGGATGATGGATTCAAACCGCCAACCTTTTGGTTAGCAGCCAAACCCTTAACATTCTGCCGCTCAGGGGCAGACCTGGCCTTTTTGCCTCCTGAAGAGCCAGCCCCTCTAGACCCTATTCCTTCAGGTCCCGCCCCTTGCCCTAGGCCCGGCCCCAGTCTCCCACAACTAGGCTCCGCCCCTGAGGCTCATTCTTTTTAATGCCCACCCCTCTCGTAGGCTCCGCCCCCCCTCCTTGCGGGCCACGCCCCCAGAGCCCTACCTTTTAACTTTCAGGCCCCTTTTCTCCCTAGGCTCCGCCCCCTCCGGCCGGGGCGAGGGCTGTCTGTGACACAACGCGTGTCCCCTCTCCCATTTAGAGCGCCGGCTGTGACGGGCTGCTGGGCTCGGGCGCCCGGGAGGACCGCTGCGGCCACTGCGGCGGCACCAACGACTCGTGCCTCTTCGTGCAGCGCGTGTTCCGCGACGCCGGTGACCGCCCGCCCCGCCCGCAGAGCTGGCCCGGAAGCGAGGGCCCCGCCCTTCCCAGAGCGGATCGGGTTTTAACCCTTTCCCTGCTGCATTAAGCTTCATGCTAACTCCACACGTCTCCCAGCGCTTTCTGGGCCCCAGGACCCCGGCTGATCGCCTCACCTGCATGGTTTTGTTTAATTTCAAATCGCTCCCCCCGCGATGGCTGCTACACCCGTTTCCCGCTCTCCCACCCAGGTACCTTCGCCGGGTACTGGAATGTGACCCTGATCCCCGAAGGCGCCAGACACCTCCGTGTCACCCATCGGAGCCGAAACCACCTGGGTACCGCAGGGTCTGAGTGAGGCGGGTGGTTGTCCTTGTTTACAGCTGGGGAGACTGAAGCTGGGGAGAGGGGTCCCGGGGAGGAGTGGGGCCGGTTCCCAGGAGCCCTCTGACCCTTCCCTTGCAGCGCTGATGGGGGGTGACGGGCGCTACGTGCTCAACGGGAACTGGGCGGTCAGCCCACCCGGGACCTATGAGGCGGCGGGGACCCGCGTGGTCTACACCCGCGCCGCCTCCGGGCCGGAGGAGACGCTGCGCGCCGCTGGGCCTACCTCCCACGACCTGCTCCTGCAGGTGTGGGGCGGAGAGTCTGAAGGGGGAGGCTGGGGAGGGGGGTCGTCAGGCTGGGGCGCTCACGGGGCCTGGCTCCTCCCCAGGTCCTCCTGCAGGAGCCGAACCCCGGCATTGAGTTTGAGTTCTGGCTCCCTCGTGAGCTCTATGGCTCCTTCCAGGCGCAAGTGCAGGCCCTGGGCCGGCCCGCGCGGCAGCCGCAGCCGCGGGAGGTGGAGCTTCCGCGGGCAGAGCCCCCCGCGGTTCCCGCTGCCGTCCCCCCACGGACCCTGACCCCGGCCCCAGGTGAGAGTGAGGTGGGGCTGCCAGGGGTGGGGGCGAGCAGGGGACAAGACCTATACCCTTCATCACCCGGTCCCCACAGACCCCTGCGAGCCCTGTCCGGACACCCGTGGCCGCGCCCATCGCCTGCTCCACTACTGCGGCAGCGACTTCGGTGAGACTCCTAACCCGACCTCGCCTGACCTCAGTGAGCCCTGTTCTGCTGACCTCTGATCCTGAGCTGACCTGCGCTTGACCCGACCCCAGCTTGATCCTTTGACCTGACCCCTGACCACTCATGGATCTCTGACCTGCCCTGACCCCGGGCCCTCCTAGCTAGCCCTGACCCCAGCCCCCACGCAGTCCTTGCTTCCCTGGTCTGTGCAGTGGGTTGTGCATGAGGGTGTGTGGGGTACAGTGCCCAGTGGCCTCAACACCCACCTGCCCACAGTCTTCAGGGCCCACATACTTGGCCGCCAACACCAGGCCCAGGAGACCCGTTACGAAGTGCGTGTGCAGCTGGTCTACAAGAACCGCTCGCCGCTGCGAACCCATGAGTACGTGTGGGCACCAGGCCACTGCCCTTGCCCGCCACTGGCCCCCCACCAGGAGTACTTGCTGGCTGTCCAGCGCCTGGTCAGCCCTGACGGCACACAGGACCGGCTGCTGCTGCCCCGCTCTGGCTACGCCCGGCCCTGGAGCCCTGCAGAGGACAGTCGTGTGCGCCTGGCAGCCCGGCACTGCCCTGTCTGAACCTTTTTGGACAAGGCCCCCATCACACGCAGCAAGAAAGACACTGCTTCGGCCGGAACTTGACATATTTCTCCTCTCCCCTTGGCTTCCAGGGAGCTCAGACATACCTCCTACCACAGCTCTGTGACACTCCTGTCACACACGCAATTAGACCCCCTGTACGAAGTCAGAACCACTATCAGGAACAGGCAGGTACTGGTGAGGACACACTAAGTAGACTCTTTAACTCGTATCCTCTATTGCCCTGGCTGCCGGGAAGCTCACGGCTATTTTACACCCAGAAATTATGTGTCTGCTTTTATTTACTTTGTCTCGTGATCACTTGATTAGAGACACTACTACAGACCAGCATGGCCCAGAGAAAGGTACTCCAAAAACCAAACTCACTGCCATCGAGTCGGCCCTGACTCATAGCAACTCCTCTTTAGGTTTCTGAGGGAGTACCACTATGGAAGTTGATTGCCCAACCTTCATTCCCAGGAGTGGCTGGTGGTTCAAACTTCGGGTTAGCAGTCAAATGCCTTAGGCACTATACCACCAGAGTTCCCAGAGAAAGATAAGCCTAACATATATGTCCCACTGCTATCTGACTTATCGTGACACTATAAGATAGAATAGAACTGCCCTATAAGTTTTTCAGGGCTGTAAATCTTCACGGAAGTAGACTGCTTCATCTTTCTCCCATAGAGTGGCTGGTGGGTTCAAACAGCTGAACCACTGACCTTTTGCCTTTTGGTTAGCAACCATATGCTTTAAGCACTGTGTCATCAGAGTTATATATATATACACATATATAAATGTGTATATATATACATATATAAATGTGTGTATATATATATATATGTATATGTATATGTATGTATACACACACACACACACATATATATATATACTAGTTTCCCAGTTTCCCTTCTTTCCATTGCTACCAGGAAGCTCATCCTCGCTTTACTTCCTGGCACTCACACACATACACCCTCAAATATTCAGAAACATTGTCACAAACGGGCATGGCATGCTCTTAGAAGACATGCCTAACCAGGGACTGTAACACTGATTTCGCCTTTTGCTCTGGCTAGCAGGAAACTCAAAGCTGAGCTTGGCACCATGCTCAGTAGTCCTGGCTAGCTTTCCTCTGTTTCATGCTGCTGTTTGCCCCTTTTATATTCCTATTTAATTAATTTTTACAGGCACTTCAAAAAAAAAAATGTACCCCAGTCACGTATGTTTGACCGCAGAGATTTGGGGTGCGTCAGGCACATGACCACACCCTCATGACATGTCCGCACATGCTTCCCTCCTCCTCCTGGTCCAGCCCTCACCTCCCCACTGGGGTTCTGACCACTGTAGTGGGGAGGGTGGGGAGTACCTGAGGATTGAGGCAGGTAGGGAAAAACAAGGCTTTTATAGGCCCCTTTGGAGGTCACTCATTCATCTGAGGACAACCCAGGGGACCTCTCCCTGGCTGGGGAGACAGGTGGGAACCCCTGCATCTGCCTGTTCCTAACCCCATCCCCACATGTCTGTGGGTGTCTGTGAGGGATGACAGCCACTCAGCACTCCTTTCTGCGGGGCCACAAACTTCTGCCTCACACGCTGAATTGGATGGCACGTGCTGTCGTTAGGGACAGCCTGCTCTCCCACACTACTGGTGGTTGTGCCTTATTCTGGGGTGTAGGGTTCCCGGGGCTGGGGAGGAATAAGGGGGTGAAGGTCAGGGAGAGCTGGCGGGGGCGCTGAGGCGGAGTCTTCCTGTGGGAGTTGGCGGGTGGTGTGTGGCCTGCGGCTCGATCGCCCAGCACCTGACCTTGCAGGTGACCTGCAGCCAGGCACCGCCTCTCCTGGGGTCTCAGTTTCCCCATCTGGGACTAAGTGCCCTCTGAAGAGGTCTTTTGCCCAATATGTCACTTGGCTTTTTGACTGTTGCGTCCACGGGCATTCATTGTGGATCCAAGTAAAATGAAATCCTTGACAACCTCAATCTTTTCTCCATGTATCATCGTGTTGCTTATTGACGGTCCATGAAAAAGGAAGACCCTCAACGAGATGGAGGGAGGCTGTGGCCGCGACGATGGGCCCGAGCAGCATGGCTTGTGAGGATGGGCGGGACCAGGCAGTGTTTTGTTCTGTTGCACTTGGGGTGGCTACGAGTTCAGACTGCCTTGACTGAGCTTAACAACAACGGTCTTGCAAACTCATCCTTCCCTAACCTGGGACCTTCTCTTGATTCGTGTATTCCAACCGTGAGTATTTAGTGAGCACTTACTGTATGCGAGGGAGCTAGTCATGCCTGAGACGGCCAAGGCCTGGCCCTGCTTCTATCATCGTCAGTAGCAACGCCCCAGCCACTAGCCACAAAGTGCAAGCTGGTCTCTGGAGGGACACATGGAGCCCGCACGCCCCCTGGTGGACACTGTAACCCGACAGGAAGAAGGGATGGATTTCGCACCCTTGTGCTTGCTCTGCGCCTGCCTGCCCCGTCAGATGCCTAGCACCAGCACCAACACCCACAGCCCCCCCTAAAGTCACGCATGCTGCTGTCACCGTCACTCCAACCGTTGATAGACACCATGTCTCTGCATAATTGCCGTGTAGGGATTATTTTAGGGGTGAGAGCTGGGCACTTGGTCTGGAGCTCGGGAGGGCGGCCCCACGGACTCCCAGATGCTTCTGCAATGTTCCTGGCAGCTAGGCTGCCCCCACCTCCCGGCGCAGACTTCCAGGCTGCAGTGCAAGGCTCGTGAAGGGGAAGAGACAGGCAGGAGAGTGGGGGACGGGGTGGGGAGGCGGCTGGACGTCCTCACCGGGGAGGCTGTCTCCACTGCCGTACTCACACGGACAGGGGGAGCTGGTGTCCCTGAGGCGATGACTCCCTGGGGTGGTCCTCCCTTAGCACCTCTCCTCTGTGCAATAGTGCTGTGTCCAGCAGTGCCACGTGGCAAGCAGTAATAAACGCAACATTCTTACTTGGTCCTTCAGTTTTAAAATAAACACTGAATGAGTTAATTAGAAGAATATATTTCCACTTTTAAAGATGCTCAGATTGAGCAGTATAATCCATGCAGGGGTTCTCACTGGAACTCAGACACCGAGGTGATTGAGAGATAGATCAGACAGACAGACAGATGACGGATAGGTAGGTAGATGATAGGTAGATTAGGTAAACAGTCAGGTGCAGACAGATGGGTGATAGACAGACAGACAGATGATGGCTGCCATGAAGTCAACTCCAGCTCGCAGTGACTGTGTACGACAGGACGGAGCACTGCCTGCTCCTTCATTGTTCTCACGGTCACTGGCACGTTCACGTCCGTTGCTGTAGCCATTGCGCAGAGGCACTTCACCTCGCCCGCCCTGGCCCGCCGCTTCCCCCGGCACGCTGTCCTCCTCCAGTGCTGAGCCCTGCGCTGGGACGTCCAGAGCCAGCCAGCTGCACGGTGCTCTGTCACGGCCCACGGCGCTGTTAGCGGCTGTTTGCCAGAAGTCAGTTGCCCGGCCTTTCGCCCTGGTCATTTTCTGTGGACATCCCCTGAGAACCCACTCTGCATCCCAGTACACACAAGCCTCCACTGAGACGGCCGGGGGCTGCAGATGAGGTGGATCGGCAGGAAGTGAGCCGGGTCTCCCACGTGGAAGCCGAGGACGCCTCCTCTGAGCCACCGCCGGGTCCAGTTCCCCAGGAGGGAAGTCCTTACAAAAGAGGAGCAGAGACATTCAGAGGAAGACAGCCGTGGTGTCTGCAAGCTCAGGGGTGCCTGGGGCCCCCAGAGGCTGGAGGAGGCAGGCAAGATCTTGCCATGGCCCCTTCAGAGGCAGCAGCCGCGCCGACGCTCCACAGTCAGCCTTCTGGTCTCCGAACCCCGAACCCGGAGAGTGAGTTGCGGTGTTCGAGGCCTCCCTGTGGTGCGATCCGTTGCCGCAGCCCCAGGACACTAAGACACCCTCCCTGCACCCCCAACTCCTTCCCACAAGAAGAGAGAGCTCTGCTCACCAAAATGCAGTTCTAGAAAGTTCCTACCTCTCGGAATCACAATAGCTCCGAACTGGAACCGACCCCCATGTCCGTCAGCCAGCTGCGTTGTTGTCGGTTGTCATGGAGATGCTTGGTGACCCTCCGTGTGCAGAGCAGCACGGTCTCCACAGCCCTTCCAGGCTGGGGCCTTTCAGAAGCGGATCACTGGGCTTGTCTTCCCAGGTGCCCCTGGTTGGGTTTGAACCGCCAACCTTCCAGCTAATCGTCGTGCGCTTAGCTGTTCATGCCACCCAGGAACTCTACCATCAACAGTGGAAAGGATATTCACTGTGACGCATCCATGGATGGGATGCTAGACACTGAAGAGAAAGACGGGCCTACTGCTCCGCCTAGCATGGTCTCAGGCCTCCCAGACGTGATTCCGAGTGGAGGAGACACACGGCACGGGGAAAACATGGCATGCGTGTGACGCTCACTGGCCGTGGAGGAGTCGGGGCAGGCTGCCTCTGGGCCCTGGCACGTTCTCTTAGCAGCCCTGAGTGCCAGTGTGCTTTTCTGCACGTTTACCTAATAATCATACGGAAGTTTGAAGGCTTAAAGGTCATGATTTCCACCTGGCAAGACAGTGTGTTCTTCATATCTGTGGTCCCAGGTGAGGTGACTGGGTGGGGCGTGGGGCCCAGGGCTGGGCATGGGGCCCAGGGCCTGTCTTTGAGGTGGGGAGCAGACTGAGGGCTTATTCAATGTCCCAGGGCAGTGAGGCAGGGTATCACCTGCAAAGCTGGGCTGGGAACCCATCTCCCAGCCAGTGAGTCCCTTGGCCATGGGCGGAGCACACTCCCTAAAGCAGCTGTCACAGTGAGCAACAGATTCCCAGATTCTTGTTGAAGGCCCCCTGCGACTTCTCAGCAGCGGGCGGGGAGTATTAATCAGTGATTACCTTTCCCCCAGCAGAGCTCTGTCCTCAGAAAAAGCCAAAGTCCTCACCACACCCTCCAATAAGCACTGTTCACCTCACAGACTCCACTCA